CTTGTAAACTCCTTAGTGGTGAAATAGTGAGGAACAAAACTCTATGGAGGAAATGCAAAAACTACAGGTAAACCACAGAGCCAGGAGTGAAATTCCCATAGGCTACAGAAGGCCAGACTTTCCTTAAGCTTTAGAAAAATGTCTTTGTTATAAATACCAAGCTACATATGAAAATGGGCAACTGTAGAAGGTAACAGTCCTAAAGACTTAATGATTGTCAAGTCTGTGTGTAATGGTGGGGGAGCTTAAGTCACAAGTTTTCAGGTAGTTTTCAATTTCCTTTTCAGTGTGCAGAGCCCTGCCTAGTGAATTCAAGCCTGTTGATAAACAGTTTGTTTTCCTTGTTTATTTTTCACAGGTTGATGAGAAGCTGTCCTTTCACACCCAGGGGCTGCGGACTAAGAAACAGTGCTCTGGAGCTTACAGAGAAAGAGAAACTCCTTTAGAAAGCAATCTAAACCAGGAGCTTTACTCGTTACCTTTTGCAGAATTGATGCCACCCAGAGCAATCCCATGTTCTGTTGTCTTGGGTATGTTTTAATGAAGGAAAACAAACCCCCAAAATATCTCCACTGGTGTCTTTTATTAAGTAATGCAAAATACAGTATTAATTATGACACTGCATGCATTTTAGACAATATAAATGCAAGCCTACAGAAAATGTGACAAAGAAACCCTCAATTACTTTTGAGGTAGTATACAAGGAAAAATAGGAAAGCAGAAACACAGTGGATTAAAAGAACAAAATATTAGTATCACTTTGTGCATACATTAGTCACTCATAAATACACTTGTATGAAATAACTTAAGATACAATTCCATTCTTGTTAAAAAATATACTTCTTCAAATTCACCATTCTTGTTTGTTTTGTTTTCACATGACATTTTATGGTATTTTATCAGGTGGATTTATTTTTTATCACTGCCGTCATGATTTTACCCTTTTCCTCCAAGAGTTTAGGCACAGATGGCCTCATGCACAAAAATAAATAAGAAACCTGCTTGAAGGGAAAAGAATTCTGCTCAAATAGCTTAGGATAGTCTAATAAATACCATTTTGTTTATAAAAATACTTCAGGTTTATAAAAGAGGGGAGGGGACGGTCTCCCACGTGGAAAGGATGTTAAGTGAAAAGTGCTGTATAACATTTTTGAAGAGATTTTGTTTTAAACATATAGTACCATTATGAATATATATTTTATAATAATCCTGTTTCTTAGAACCTTATTGTTCACTAGAAGTATCAAATGCTGTTTGCTTCCTTTTGTTTGTTGTCTTATTGCCTTTTTGGAAGATGCCTAGTTCAGAAGGGTTCCGTATAATTGTGCTTTTGTAAGGCTGTCCTTCCGACTCAAACCAGTACTCCCAGTCCGTTGAAACTGCTGCTGTTTGCTGTGAATACCCGAATGACTTCCTTGCTCCATGGAAGACTGGTGGATTTCTGAAGCCTCCATTGAACTCTGATTGAGGGACTCTGCTGAGCTGTTGGGGCTCACGTCCACGTATTCTCTTTTCAATACTGGGCTATTTTCGATGGTTTTGCTACTGCATAACTGGACAGTGATCCTTTCATTTTTTTGGTCTCTTGATTCTTTTGTTTTGTAAGTGGGCAATTTGTCCTGTTTACAGCTAGTGCTGATGTCAATATTCAGGCCACTGTCTGTTCTCAGGAAGCAAGAATCCACAAGTCTGCTTTGGCAGATATCGTCTCCCTCTGAGCAGCTATCTGCTTTGTAACTAGCATAGATGGGGCTTGTTCGACTGTCTCCCTTCTTAATAGGGCTGCTGTAGTACTGCTCTGAAAAACTACAGGGTGACAGCCTGCCAGTGTTCCTGTAAGAGTACGCACCAATGTCCTCCACACTCAATTGCCTCCATCGCCCAGGCAAGTCTTCTTCTGAAAGGTGGGTGCTCCTGCACTCATTCCTCATTTTCTGATTTCCTAAAGCCTGCTGTGGTGTTATGGCTGAGAAATGAAAAGGTTCATTTGCATAAGGAGGCAGAGTCCTAGTAAAAGTGGGCGAGTTCTCATTGTCGTCGGCAAGCTCCATGTGCTGCGCAGGTTTGGCCTTGGCAAACCTAGGACTTCCCTGATGTTCGTAACCTGCAGGTGACTTTCTTTCAAACAGTTCGTCTCGGTTGCTCATGTAGATCGCTTGCTGAGAGGCTGTCAGAGTGTTGGCTTGGGCGTTCTCCTTCTCCTCGGATGTGACACTGAAGCTGGAATAGGAGCTGGAGGTTGGCAGAGAGGTAATGTACTCTGGGAAGGCTTCGTGAGAGAAGCTGGAATGGAAACCGTCTTCTTCAATGGTGCTGTCCGTGGAATTCTGGGACCGCAGGAACCCCACGTCTTTCACTTGTGTGTCCACACTCTGCCTCCTCTCCCTCCTCCTCTCCTCGGGGCAGTAAAGGGCGGTGTCGCTGCAATAGATGTCTGACTTGTACTGGGGCCTTTGTCCAAGTTTTCCAGCAGAGTCCTGAAAACTGAGATCCCTTGTAGATGGGCTTGACAAGTGTGAAGACATGCTGTTTGGATCTGGTTTTTCCAGTACTTTGGCAATGACACAAGTGGGTATGGTATCAGCATAAGATGTGTGGCACAAGGGGACAGAAAGGCTGCACCCGTGCTTTTCCAGATGGATGCTGACTCTTTCCTGAAAGTCCGATGGCAACTGTAACACAAAGAGATGGCAAAGGGGACAGGAGAAAAAGGTGTACGTCAAAACTGGTGTCTGCTTGGGCTAATACAACATTGCTAGATTAGCGCTGTTTATGATATTGTATGGTATATGGTTCTTTCACTAATGTGATGTTCACAATCTGTACATTTCTGAAAACAAACGTAATCAAATTACCTTCATTTTTAACATTTGGAAATCTTAATCTGCTTCCCCTCATGGAAAACACTGTGAAACTGAAATGTTTCCTTCCAAGTTAATTCAGGTTGGATAGGAATGATGTAAAGAAAGTAGTAAACAATGATGTTAAAAAGGCAGGTAGGGAATTACAGCCTACAGCAACACTTCCCAGACTGCTTGTATGGGTGCGATTTGCATTTGGAGTGGCAGGGTGCAGAGGTCTCTGCTGGGGTGAGGAAAGAGGAGGAAATCAGATCTATTCTGTTCTTCTTTTGCCTTTCTTTGAGTTCATCTTGCCTCCAACCCAGTGCCAAATTGGCTTCTGCCCTTCAGCGTCGCATTTGATAAACAATGCTGTTTGGAGAGGCAGGAAAGTTGATTTCACTGACACTTAAAACAATGGCACTGGCTGCTATGACAGGAGTGTTCCTGTGCTGGGAAGAAGCAAATCAAACCAGCTACCTTGCCCCAGCACTCGGACACCACTTGTCAGATCAACCGTCCGTATAAGCCTCAACATGCCCCCCTCTTCCAGCAGCCACTACCTAACTGCTTTTCTACTTTCTTACTACAATGGCAGAAATAAGAGCTAAGACCTGAATTTATGTTATGATTCCCATGACAGAATAGTCAGAATTAATCAGTGTCTGTTATGCATCAGAGATCATATAGGTTTTGGAGAAGTCAGGATCGGCTCTGTGGATGGTGGTTCCACCTGCCATTCTACCATGCAGACCAGAAGAGACTGAGAGCCCGCATTCCTCGGTGCGGCTCAAAAGTCAGGTAGGTAATGCCTATTCAGGTATCACCAAGTATGCTTGCCAGTTGGGTTTTATCTGCATCCCTCATTTCAGATCTCTACTAATGATCAGACAGGGATATGAGAGAGTGCTGCATGACAGTTGTCTCAGTATTTTTTACTGGAAATCAAGAGAACTCATGTTTGGACTAAGTTCTGAGTTTGTGACTGTGATAGCTCCTTTGATATTCGTGTTGATTTACACCACTTAAGAATTTATGCTTGGCTGAACCCTGATTTACTCAGCACTTTCTTTTTATGGCTAGAATTCAAGTTCCTCGTTACCACAGAATCAGTGGTTGCCCTTATAGCCCTAATGATCGCACTCCCTCCTTAACTTTGTTTCTCTAGAGGAGTGAACCCTACAAATACTGACGTTGGGGGGTTGTGTGTGTGTCCCTATTTTAGGCAAGAGAATTTTAAGGTGCCTGCTTCTTGTAATGAGCTCACATCGTATAAGATACGGAGGTCCTCTTGTAGCTTCGCTGGGAAGCATTTAAAGTTGGTTTAGTCCCCAAAACTCAATGTATTCAAAATATGGCATGTTGTGAAATGGCATTCTTGTTAATGTGGAGTAGGATGAGTGTTTCTTCAACCAACAGACCTTCCAGGATATTTTGGATTAATCATCATGTTAATTAGCTCATATGTCTTCCATTGGAAATAAAGAGTATGATACTGCCAATCTGCTGGCAGACAGCAATATTAGTCATAGTAAGTACAGATGCAACAAAGATTGAATAAACAGGTTGTAAAATAGGGCTGCTGTAAATTCCTGCAGAAATGAGGAAAAGATATACAGTTCATTTAATGTGAAACTGCTGTATGGGGCAGCTATTATTTTAGTATCCTGTAACAGCACTGTTTGATCTATTTTATATACATTATTTAGATTATGAATTGTGTTAGGGAAAAGAACATTTTCTGGGCATTGTGCTGGAAACTGGAATTACTAAAATGATATTGCTGTCACATTACTATATTGTACAATAGTTTAGGCTGCTGGATAATATACAATACTTTGTCAGGCAATATTTGCATTTGTAAGGAATTTATTGGCTTTGACAGCACATTCACACTTGCTAAATTAATAAATACTTGGACTTATGAGTGGAAACTTTGCCTATTTAATTGAGTATATGACAGCCTGAGAAATTGTGGGGAGATCCCACATTTGTTATAGTTTTCTGCAAGTGAACTACTAGGTACTTTTAAGGTCCTAATTCTTGCTAACATGTAGGGTGCTTTCAAGTGTGAGTAATGTCATGATAACTCCTGGATATGAATTGCTAAGGGAAGTCAATTACTAGGGAAAAACAACAGGACCAGGATAATGGTTAATTTGGAAGTTCTGTCTCAGTTCCAGAAAATCATTGCCCATTTGACAGAAGAGTCTTGTTCTATTCTTATTTACCAGGGTTGTTTAGTGCTCTGAAGCACTCTACTGGCCTAGAAATGGTTTATACATTCCACATTGAATTTTTCATTATTCCATTGCAGAATTGCACGAGACAGATCATTTGGGGGGACATTAACCTGATGGGATTGATGAAGGGAAGACTATTCTCTGTGACCTTCACCGAAGCAATATACATGAGGAAGATGCTATTGCTTTGTGTAGGGCCTGCATCCCTAAAGACAGTCCTGTTCACTAAGATAATATTTGCCTTTCCTTTAAGGAGTCTGTTTCTCAAGCCTCGTTTCCTTGGAAGCGAGAGTTATTAATTAAAGTTTACAACTTGGAAATCAATCATTCAGTGCTCTGGTTGCTTTAGAAGAAGATATTTGTTCTGTCAGTCCATTTTAAAATTCAGGTTTAGAAATTAGCTGGACTGGAAAATCGCTTCAGGAGGAAAATTGATTATATCAGAATCCCTGATGCCTGCAGCTTGTCATTTCCCTGCTCTCCCCCCTGCCATTTCCCCCAGCATTTTGCAGTCTAGAGTTGCTAGCACTTTGATTTTTCTAAAACCTTTATTTTTCATATGATCAGCACAGGCCCATTCTACCGGATAGCAGAGGTTTTGGGGAAGAGAGTACGTCCAAGTTCCATCACTGGCTGTGATTTTTTCAGCCCCTCCCTCAGCTGCACAGAATACCAGCAGGTGCACAAGCCCTCCTGTTGCTTAAAGGGGTGGGGGGAAAACCAAAGCCTTAAGGGCAAACAAGTTCTGGAATTGATACATGTAAAATAATCTGTTTTCCATAAAATATTTATTTCTTTGAATATTCACCAAGTTTGGTCACATTACCTCAGAAAGCTTATGTGCCCTGTCGTAATTCTTGCTGCACTGGAGCAACTGAGCAGCTAAATTGCAGTCCTTCCTATAGAGCTCCTAGAAAAACAAAAAATAGCCTGTTTTTTGAAGTTTGCAAATAGCTTGTGGCTTTCAGCCTTTCTCCCATGCCTGAGCAATCTTCTGTAAAACAGACTTTGGGGAAATTTGGAGCATATTTTAACTTTTAAATACATTAAGGTTCCATGTTTCTTGCACGGTCCTGAGATGCTTGCCCTTTTGCTCCATGAGGGCTGATAAAATTACTAAAAAGAATATTTTGACAACTGTTACTATAGAACAGTAATCTGCATTTCAAAAGATGGATACTTACCGTTAGGAACTGGACTTTATACTGTTAACATGCATGGCACTATGAAGGCTAAAATAAACATGATCTTTTAAGTAAAAAGAAAATTTAAGAACAGATAATTTTTATCGAGTATTATCCAGATCAGCACTAAGATACTACTTTAGAAAATGCTTAAATAATCTGATGAGACTGTGGGAGAAATTCATTGCAGAAATATACGTTTTAGTGTTTTTTAAAAAGAAGGCCTTTGTCTCCTGATGAAATTTTCTTTCTGTGGAGGAGTGCTGCTGGCTCCTGGCTCCTTTCATATCTGCAGAACGCAGCTATACAAATATATTAAATCTCACTGCAAATGTCTGATGCTGCAGAACAGGACATTTTTACTGGGTAAGATATTACCATGAGAATTCCAGACAGGGAAAAAGAGAATTTAAACAAGCTGCTTATACTATTTTTGTATTAAGTGGCTCCCACAACCTATTTAATGGGAAAATTCAGTACATAGATTTGCCCTTCATCTAAATTTAATTTAGCACACATGACTGTAACTGTATCCTTCAACCAGTGTCTTTGGGTCCCTGGAGGTAAGAGTTGTATGTTGCTTCTCCCGATCTAGATGCCATTAAAACCAGTTGGCTTCAGAACTTGACTTTATAGGTGAGCATAGACGAGATAGACAAAGCATAAAGGTACTATGGACAGTAGGCTGTGTTAACCTGTAAAAATTAGAAAATGTTTATAGAGAAAAGGTGTTGAATAGCGAAATTATTTTAATTTTCTCTGGTGCGAATGTTATAATTTTATTGCATGCGGGTTTTTACTGTTCTACTTATTCTTTTAAAAACTGATAAAGAAATTTCCTATGAAAAGGAAAGGTTGAAATTCCCTCTCTTTTGAAATACCATTTTAAAGGCATTCTGTAATAACAGGTGCAACAAGGTGTTCCTGGGAGTCTGGGAGGCATGAGGGTAATAAACGTAGTTTTCCTATGCTTATCAGTTCATTATATCTTCATATTCAAGGGCCTTTAGATACTCTTGGTTTGCAGGGTTTTTTTTGTGTCTCTGTGAGCTTTTATACATGCCACTTCTGCCTTAAATGTACTGGGGAGATACATTAATTTATGTAGTTCTTAAATTTTATATTAGTACACACTATTTTTATTCCTGAAAACAGATGCAAACAGTAGGAATCCAAGAATTCAGTTTAGAAGCAAAATCTGTTGCATGTGCATGTGATTCTGACATGCTACATGCACATTAAATACACAATATATTGCTGCACAGACAAGTACTCCAAGTCCCATATGGCATTACTAGGCACACAGAAATGAAATCACTCCAAAATCAAATCCTTTCTTCAAAAGCTGTTTGCCTCTGTTTCTGTGAAGTGGTTGTCATGGAGAGTACAAAAAACACTTCTGACACTTCATTTTTAGCAGCTTTAAAAATTACTACAGAAAAATTACATGTAAGTTAAATGTACCATGAGTACTTTGTTCTCAACGTGCTGGGACATGCCATGCAACTGGAGTGACTTTCTGTCCTTTACTGTTTATCTGAATGGAAACTAGCCACATCTGTGCCAACTAGAACAATAATTGCCAATTAATGCCAAAAGTGTTTCCTATAGTCTAAAACATGTGTTCGCATCAAAAGCATCACTTTACATATCTGTCAGGAGAGTAAGGGGATAAGGGGAAATATAATCAAAGGAAGAAATATTGGCAAGACAAAAACATGTTCTCCCCATGTAGGATTCTTCAGTTTAACACTGTGCTTTACTTATTTGGTATAGTATTAATGGTTTGTTTCATAGTTCTTTATTTTAAAATTTGGAATTTAACATTTACTGTCATTAATGATGCTACATAACTAAGGGCAGAATTTTGTCTGTGAATCGACCTCAAGTATGAAGAAGTGGTACTGTTATTTGAGGCTTCTGGACCATAATGTTCAGAGTAGTTCAGAATAGTTCTTGGAAGAAGAGTACTTGGTACTCCAGTCCAGTCTAAGCTGCTTTTTAAAAACTATGAATATTAAAGCCACTTCTTCAAATTTGACCTCAAACCTGACTCCATGAAGTAGCGTAAATGCATGCATACTTAATGGGAGAATTTTACAATTTTTTTTTTCCCCTCTATTTTAAATCTGAAATAACTCCACTGATTTCAGCTGAATTAGCCTGGATGTATACGTGTGCTTCTAAACCCTAGATGTAGCCCATTGCATTTACCAGGTTCCGTTAGTTACAACTACTAGTGTTTATGAAGTAACTGTCATTTCAACACAATTTCTATAAAAGTAAAGGGCCAGATTGTGAACTCTTTGTTTCCGTTGGAAAGCTATTAATTGCATAGGCACCATTCACATCAACAGGCATATTAATGGGATCAAATGCTCCCTGCTATGATTAAGAGTTCATGTGAAATATGGGAAGATTGAATGTAAGATGCTGAAAAATAAGTGCTAACAGAAACATGTTTTCTGTAGATGATTTTTTTATTAAGTGTCTAAGGAATGGCAAAATAATGAACTAAATGCCTGCAATCTTCCTTTCTTTGCTGTCTTTTAATGTTTGTCCCTGGAAGGATTTCATGAGCTTGGTTGCCAGCTGCAGTAAGCATGCCAGTTTTCAGCAGAGTTTAATGAGATGCAGGGTGACCATTGCCAGAGGTGTTCCCTGTTTCATTCCATGCAGAGACAGGTAAATTGCTACACATGAACCACAGCTGGGGAAAACCTGTCTCCAGCTCCCTGCAATGGTCTGAGTGACCAGGTTGGGTGAATCCTACCTTCTGCTAGCAGAGCTCACTTGTGCTGGGCGTCCCATTTCAGTGAGTAAAGACTGAAAGATCAGAGAAACTGCAGGAAATGTAGGGCTCTACATTGTGCCTAAAATCCTTATGATGAATCCTCACTCCATACATGCTTCCACCAGTTTTCTGTACTAGACTGAAACTGATGGCAAAATCAATACGGGAATATTGCCATGTCTTAGAATATTTTTTAATCAGTTTTAGGTTAGACATAAGGAAAAAAATATCAATGCAAAGTCTCACCCCAACCCCATAGCTTAAGGAGAGCTGAATTTACAAAATGATGGGAACATCAAACATGAACTTTAACTGTCAAGGTGACAAGTTACATTTTATGTAAACAATAAGAAATTACTCTATAATTCCATGGGAAATGCATGGCATAATTTATTTCTGAATATAATCTCAAAAAGTATCCATAATTAAATACTTACATTGTCTTCTGACAACTTATCTATTGTCACCTTGGCCTCTATTAAGTGATTATTGAGTGCAATTATTTCATGGCTCAGTGCCCGTTTTTCCTCTTCGTAATGTTGACCCTGTGTAGAAAATGGAGTAGTCAGTACTTTTTCTACTGTCAGAATATTTCAGAAAAAGGCACAATGGTTGATGTCATTCTCAAATCCAGGAAAAAGCACAACAGACCAATTTTTTTTTTTCCTATTTTTTTCTCTTGTCACTCAGCAAGTGAGGCAATATAGTTTGAAAATATGGAGGCCAAATTGAGCTCACATTAGAAACTTTCACAAAAGGCTCTAGCTAGCCTGTGCAAAAGCATTTGATTGAGCACGAGCTATTCCCTCTTCATCACAAGGCAGGGTTTCTAACCTGGAAGGGACTTGGGCAGCTGTTGACTTTTGCTACAAGAATGCTTCACATATGCCATTAGCTCCCATTCTCATCAGGGAGGAAGAACAATATTTAAAAAGGAAAGTAGCTGTGTTTGAGCCAATTTCTTTTTTGCTGTTGACTGTGCTGTCTGCTTTAAAAGCCCTGAATGAGGTTGTTCATTTCTCAAGATGAATGTTTGCCTGGTTGTGGGGTTAGCACTCATTAGCAGAATGTGGCCCACTGTGGGATAACAGGAAAATAGTCTGATTCAAACTTCTAGGGGCCCACTAATTTAATCTCTTTACCAGTAGGCTGTAACTCTTTATTATAAATGCAAAGAAATCAGTGGGAAAAGTAAAGTGCCACTGGCCCTCCCATACTGTGTCCCATTTTCATATTGTAGTATTTATTGTGCCACCTCATATATAAAAAATTATTTTGTAGCAATCATTTATAACCCTGCCTCCAGCCTTACATTAGCATTAAAAAGTATGGTAACTTCTGAATGCTCTAGCTGAGATCAAGGCATCTTCCTTGCACTCGGAGCTCTGCAAGACCATGGTAATAAAAAGGTTTGCCAATTATCTGGAGGGATCTTTTACAAAGCAGCATTGCCATAAGAACAGAAAGTAGGGTAAACTTTAAGGTACATCTGTTTTGTTTAGTGAACTCAATCCAGTGACAAATCCACAATCTCACTTTCCATTCTAAAATTGTTAGAGTAACTTGTGAAGGACTTTCTCAAGCAGGATAATTGTATTAGCTACTGAAATTTCCCAAATGCTATATTGCCAGGGTCACACAAAAATCTTCCATCAGCACACACTCGACATTGTCAGCTAATTGACAGCAATGGGAGTTGTGTGTTTTGAAGTCTGAATGAATATCAAGGTTAATTATCCAGCTGCAAAGCACCAGGCTATATTAAAGAAGGATGATTAAATTGTAAGTGGCAGGTCTCATCCTAAGTTGCTATTTAAATAAAAACACCTTATCAAATGGTTTAAGCCAACCCACCTCTTGCTTTAAACAGTGCAGATATGACTGAAGTGTCTTTGTGAAGGTCTGGACTGGCCTGTTTTAATGCCAGCTTTTCTATGGACTGTCTGTTCCCTGCTGTTGAAAGACCTCCATCCCGACAGCTCAGCTGTGCCTGGAGGCTGGTTCAGGCTTGACACCTCTCCCGTCCTTGTTCCCATTGATCAGCTGCTCCTGCTAGCTGCCTGGGGACTATATCATGGAAAGCCAAAGCATAGCTTTGAAAGCTTGCAAGAGCTCCAACCTCACTGATTTTAACAAGACACATGATCTTAGGGGGTTGTGGTTTTTAATTAGGCAGATTGACATGGCTTTATATAAGGCCCTTAACTCTCATTGATTATATTGTGAACTAAACAACTAGGCACTTTGTAAACCTCCTGGACATCTGTGCACCTCCAGAAATTTGTCTCGTTTGAAAGTGTGACTAAAGATTACATTTTCAAAGGCATTTAGCTGTGTAATGAGGTAGACAAGTGACTACCTAAGTACATGGGAAAAATGTGTCCCCTCAATTTTCCAAGTCATTTCATGCTTTTGAAGGATCCAAGTCCACTGAGTATAGACTTAATCTTCCAAATAACCATTTGTATTGAAGATTTTATCAATCCTTGTATGACAAGTTGTCAATGCCAGGGCAGTTGATTTGTAGGACCCCCTTTTGCTCTAAGTCTCTCTGATTTCAGTAAGTGTTGCTCTTGCCTAACAAAACTGAACTTGACTCAATATATTTTACAGTTCAGGAAAGATCATCTGATCAAGGATTTATAGTCTTCAGCAGAGAGAAGCTCATAAAAGGGCAGCAGATTCAGGTTTTGGAAGCAGTACTTTCCATTGCATTGAGTAATGCTGAATCTGACTGAATTATGGTTTCATTTTATTTCAGTTATGATAACTTTTGGGCTGATGTTTTCCAGACTTTGTATCTGACCAAGTGTGTCTTTAAAAAATATTTTCTATTTGTTGAACTGTAAAATCTGCCTCTGTCCAAATGTATACTATACAGGTTAGCAGATAGACACCAAAATAATAAACACCTCAGCAGTGCTGTGGAGGGGGAATGAGAAAGGCCAGTCCCAGTCTTCTCCACCAGTATATGTTTGCATCTTTCTCTTGAAATCAGCATTGTTGACATGAGAAAAGAGTCTGTCTCACTGTGGCAAAATGAGGTGGCTTAAGGGTGCACAGGATGCTGAAAGGCTTTGGGTTATTGACCACATACTGTGTGACTATCTTTGAAAGTTCAGGGCTTCAGCCAGGTGTTATTGTGGTCCAGTGGTGGCAACAAGAGGATAGAGGCTTAATCCTGACACCACCTTGGGGAAAATGGTGCAGCTGGAAGAGATGGTATGGTAGTGCTGGATCACTGCATTAAAAGGATTGCTGGTTCCTGGGGACTGCAACTTTGAGCTTTCTGGTTGCAGTCGGACAATTGTATTTTCAGCATCAGACAGGTATAGATGTCAGAGAGGGATGAAAGGAGGATGGGAATCATAATATCAATGCTGTAATTTTGAGTTACAAATAGAAATGCTTATTTTACTTATAACCACTTCTGGCAGATCCCTCTATTTCTGGTAGCTTTTAAATGGTTGGTCCTCCTGTTCTTCCATAAGGCTGGTGACCTCTCCTCTCTCCTTTTGGCACTGCATTCTGCTCTGCAGGTGCTAACAACCTATCTCTCAAAATTCAGTAGCAGATTAAGTTAATGGTGTTATTGATATGCCAATAGCTTGCAGCTGGGCTGAGGGTTCCTGAAGTCCACTCCAAAATGCCATAGCTATGAGCTACAATGGGCTGAGCTTCTGGTGGATCTTTGTTCAGAAATCTTTGTTGAGTCAGCTCAGTGCATCTTGCCCCTGCCTCCTCCCCCAGAACACAGCCCGCATAAAAGAATACAGCTCCATGGTGTCTGACTAACGTGAGAGAACTGCAATCATGTGCCCACGTCTGAGTCAGATCAAATTCATACTGCTGGGTGACTCCAGCAGTGCACACCACTGATATTAATAGTGGGGGAACCAAGCGCCTGGAGCCCTTGCTCCTAGCCTGGATTTAGCATGAGCCTCACTGCTTCCTTCTCAGATCTGATGAAGGAATTGGGTATCTGCTCTTCACAAAGGGATCAAATGATACAATAAAAGAGATTATCTCTGCCTGGAACCTTGTTTTTCTTATAATTTGTATCTATCACAGTGACAACATCCCTCATATATTTACAGATCCATAAAAACATAAGGTGTCACTTTCAAAAGTGTTTGGTATCATCTAGTCCCTGCATCTGTTATCTGTGGTATAAGCAGGGTGAAAAGAACTTTGGTAGGTTGATACATCATGAAATAACTAATAGATAAGTGTATTTTAGAAAGTAACAAAAGCTGGAAGAAAAAATTTGCTTTTTTTTTGCGTATTAGCGGATCCACAAAGGTCCCTACTCTAGTCCTTCAACAGAAATGGAGCAGCCTAAAAGTTGGCTGTCTCTCTGGTAATGCTTCAGTCTCCCTTCAACGCTTTCCAGCAGTTGGAGAGTGTCCTACCGCAAAGCAATGTCAGCCTATTAGTCAAGGCTAGGCTGCTTACTGTCATGCCTGCTGTCCTGTGGGAGGTTTGAAATGTGTATAGACCTTTTGAAATCAGTCTCAATTTCGCAAATGAGCAGTGCTGGTCTGTGGAAATGTCAGCCTTTTCAAACATGGCAAAATAAATCTGTTCTTGATGTTCCTGTAAGGAACATTTCCATGGATAGCGTTTCAGTGCTACCATGAGAATAATATAATGGTAGTAGTGACCACAAGGTATTAGTGGTCAGCAGCACTCCTTTGGAAATACCTCTTAATAAGTAATGCCTGAATGACAGACAGAAGGAGAGAGAGAGAGATTTGTTCTGTTACAAATATGACCAAAGTGGCACTGGTATCCCATCCTGAATGTCTGGACAGAGGTTTACTGTAATGTTTTTGCATGTGGCATACAGGCAGAACTTTGTTCCCTTTTTTCTTTACTACTCTGCTTGTCCAGGAGGAAGACAGCACTTCCACAGGAGAAACTCCCCACCTTTTTGGACAAGCATAACAATGTTAACTGAGTACTTTTCTCACAGAACACCAGTCATGATCTTTTCATTGCAAATATTGATAGGTGCTAAGCAACTGCAGTGTATTTACTGTTGTTCTGTGGATCGTACTTGATGAACAAGTCCTTGTAGGAGTATATTTTCAAAACAAGGTCTGTATATTTTAAGGCAGTATTTTATAATCCCATTGAAATCATCTTATGAAGGATAAAACAGAGCAGTTGCAGGTGACACAAAACTGGGAGGAGTGGCTGGAACACCAGAGGGTTGTGCTGCAATCCAGAGGGACCTCGACAGGCTGGAGAAATGGGCTGACAGGAACCTCGTGAAGTTCAAGGAGGGGAAGTGCAAAGTCCTGCATCTGGGGAGCAACCCCATGCACCAATGTATGCTGGAGGCCACCCAGCTGGAAAGCAGCTTTGCAGAAAAGGACCTGGAGGTCCTGGTGGACATCAAGTTGAACATGAGCCAGCACTGTGTGCCCTTGCTGCAAAGAAGGTCAAAGGTAACCAGGGCTGCATTAAGAGAAGTGTTGCCAGCAAGTTGAGGGAGGTGATCCTTTCCCTCTACTCAGCACTAGTGTGGCCACACCAGGAG